TTTCTCAGGCTGGAGGAACAGCAAAAGCTGTGCTGGTGCTCTACTGTACAGGTGTGTCCAAAGTAATAAGAAGGTTTCCTGAAGAGGGATGCTCATATGCTGGGGAGGAATGCTTTCTTCTTACAAGGCTTGCACTTGTTTATATAACCAATTGATAGCCTACTTAATAATGTGGACTAAACATTATGTCAGCTAGCTTATTTGGTGAGGATGTGAGGTTTCTCCCTCCTGTAGAAAAGATGTCTTCGTTCCTCTATGAGTTGGGAGGGGTACCTGCTGTTTGGAAATACTGGAGTGCCCTTAGCTAGGGCAGAGTACCAGCCACTTGGGTAACAGTGTAGCAGAGTGCTTTATGAGTACAAAGCCTTGCATGTATTTCCTACCTGCTCTTTTCCAGTTTTTCATTTCTGCTTTATACTCATTTTTCCTTAGGCTTGGACAAACAGGGTATGTTTGGTTGCCCAGGCTCAGGTGTTTGCATTGTGTGGCAGAGCAGGCCAGGGCCAAGGAACATTAATCCTGAGCTGCGGATGGATGGTGGTGTATGTTCTTAGAATGGGTTTTGCTTTTAGATGCTTGACAAACTGCCAAAGCAGGAGGTAGCAGGGATGTCTCTGCCTTGGCCCTCATGGTGTTTTCCAGGCCATTAATGCTGGGCTGCTTGCACTTGGTCAGTGTCCTGCCAGCGCTCTCTTTAACACGCACACACACACACACGGTTTTCCAGTCAAACTTGGCATAATTGATGACTTCATGTCTGTGAGATGGTTTGCTACCAGCAGCAGCTCCCCTGCTCAAGCAGGCATCCCACACTGCTGACTGCAGTAGCAGGTAGGAGGGTGATATAGCCTTTGAAGTGGTTACAGCTGTAGGTTGTAAATGGAGGTGATATTTTCCCTGGTTTAAGTAGTACCCAGTGAGTGTGGGTACAGGGCTCTTGCTGTATAACCTCTTGTAAGAAGATAAACATCCTCAGTTCCAGCCAAAGCCTGTCTTTGCCAAGTCATGAAGATGTCTATTCTTCCTCCTGAAGCTCAAGGTCATCTGAGCTCCTTTCTGCTGTGCTTCTACTAAGGAGCCAGCTCAGAGGCTGCTTGTACCTACAGCTGGGACTCCCACCTCCTGCTCCTGTCCTCAAATCTATTTGACCTCTACTGAATTTAGCCTCTACAGTTCAGTAAGTTGTTTAAATGCTTTTATGATATTTGGCTTTGATAGCATTAGTAGCAGCTGCTTTCCTGGGAGCGGTGAAGAGCACAGTGATTGGAGATGACTCTCCTTTCTCCTCCTACCTGCCCTTCACTCTTTTCCTTCATTTGGCCCACTTCAGCACCTCATCAGCAGGGGAGGGAGTTTAAACCAGTTGTAGATTGCAAAGCTGGTGGCTCAAAATGTCTGCAGGTAAGAGAGGTCTGCAGCAGCACTGATGTGATGGTACTGCCACCCAGGGCTGCCTCAGTAAACAACCCAGCATGGGCCCTGTCCATCTCTTCCCTACCTCTTCCAGTGCAGCCCCAGACCCTCTGCATTGCAGATCCTTTGCAATGTCATTTAGTGAGTAGTGATAAGCACAGTAAACTGGCAGAATCCTGACCGGCTCAAGAGGCAGCGAGCTCTTGAAAGTGCACTTGAATAACATTCATGCATATCAAAGTAATGGCCATAAGTATTATTCACATCACAAGAGATGGAAAAGGCAGTCAGTAACTGAAGACCGAACTCAGATTAAAGTCATGATGTTTAAGCCACTGTAATAAACCTGTCAGTCTTCTCTGGCAGTGAGAAGAAAATCCCTATTAAATGAATCAGTGACAGGGAGAGTCAGTTCACTGAATGGGCAGACTGGCCCATCCTTTGGGCTGTGGTATGAGTGCACAGTAAAGCCCTGCTGATATCCAGAGGGTGCTGTGGAAGTGCTGAGACAGGTCTTGATGGGCTGGCTTCCAGCAGCTAAGCGAGCCTGAGCAGAAAGGGACAGAAACACTAATCCAGTCTTGTGGAGAACAAGAACACCGTACTGGGATTTGTAATGAACAGGCTCTGAAAAGACCAGAAAAGATTTGATAAACATTTAAGAAAAGCTGTTATGCCTTTTAGAAGAAAGATAAAACTGAAAAAGTGCCTTTTCTGCTCTTCCCTCACCATCCTTGCCTTAATTATTTGAAAGGAGAGCTGCAACAGTAATCTTCCATTAATTCAATAACAGTTTTATGATTTTGAAGGAAATGTATTTGCTGTGACCGTGGAATCTCAATAATTTAAGTGAACTTGCTCCCCTGACATCTCCCTCTTATTTTTTTCCTTGGCTTCTTAAAGCAATGTCTTGCTTTGTTCTGGTTTCCTATTATTCTTGAGCATCTCTAAGTTGTTCATATCCTCCCACAATTTCTAGTTGAATATAGGTTTCATGATAAAGTTGTCTAGACTTTTTTTTTCCTTTATTGAATGAGATTTGATGTGTCTGTTTGAGTTTGTCCTGCCATCTGGTATTGTGTGTTGAGAACCATAATCCATGCTGTTAACTCCTCACTGGCATTTTTCTTTTGCTTGTGTTCGATGGGACTCATAAGCTGCATCAGAGTGCTACAGAAAACACATTTGTGGTGGCTCTGAACTCCCTCATCTTGGGCTTTATGTCACTTTGTGCTGGCTTGAGAACGTTCCTGTTGAAAAGCAAACTAAAAATGCTCATTCCTCTATCTGGCTCATTGCACTACATTCCTACCCTCGTGTTATGCTGTGTGAAAGAGCCTGGTTTAGGACATAAAACCCACCGCATGGATGGAGAGGTTTAGTGTTTGCCTTCATGTAACAATGCTCAGAAACTTCTCATTTGCTGAAGTGTCATTTTTACTATAGAGCTAAATATTGGCATGACCAGTAATTTATGTGAAATAGTAAAATCTTTGCTTTTCTCCTGAATTCATACTCACTGTGGTGCAAAAGAGAGTAGTGCATGTATTAAGTGTGGTTTGGATGTAAATATCCGGCCTATGTTTGATTATTTTCCCATTTGATAAAGGGCTTAGACTTCACTCAGGAGTACAGCAGAACCTGTATTTCAGAGCAGAAGCTCATCTGTTTTCTCTAGATGTGAGCCCTTCAGCTTCTAGGATGTGTATTTTGACTTTTTGTTACAATGTGGTGGTGTAATAGGATTCTTCCTTCTCCAGAGAGGCTTTTATATGTACATATGTTTATATACATACACACAAGTATACACTTTAAAGATGACACTGAGTCCAAAAGCTAGGTTTTATATATTTTATTCATAAAAACAGATTTGCAACAATTTATTAAAAATTGATCTCATGCAGTATAAGGTTATACAAGAAATTCTTCATTTACATTTTATTCTGGCAGTTCCAGTCTAGTTTAAAGCATTTGTGCACTAACATCATTGGAAAATGCCATTGGGGCACAGCCTCTTCATAAATTTACAGTACATTTTTGCTGCAGTATAAAAGAACAGAAACATTAAATAGCTATATTCACTTGGTTGGTCTTGTTATCTGCAGTAAAGTAAAAAAAAAATGTTATGGGAGAAACTACAGTATCATTGAGACAAAGAATGTACTGCATGGTTTAAACCTAATAAACGTCGCACAGTCAGTATTCACGAAGTTACAGACACACACACACACACTCACCTCCAATGGTCCGATACTTCTGATTTGTTTTTTCCTGCTAAGTTGGAATAATATTTCTACAGAGATCTTTGTGTACACATTATATACAATATTGTAATTTTCTCTTTTTAAAAATTAACATTCCTTTTAAAATAAACCAGGCCCTGATGATATTAATAAAGCAAGAGAATACTGTCAACACACATTGAGTGACAACGTCAGTGTTTAGTGCTTAAACAGAGTAATGAGTTCTATTTTATCTGTGTTTATACTTACATGGTTTTGTTCTAAAAGCTACAGATATTTCCATAACCTCTCTTACTGTATGTGCCAAGTGAAATATTTTGTGATGCTCCTGATTGTTAGATTTAGATACATATTCATGTTGGTTTTGGCCACTATGAGGTGTGTTTTATTTTTAATGGAGATTTATGCTAGCTTGTCAAAGCTGTGGTTAAGTCCCTCAGCTAATGAACCTCTACAGCTGTGCTTCACCCATTGCTGATTTGTAATCCTTTGTAGGAATGTCATTCCAAAGGTTTGGTCTGAGGTGCACAGGCATTGGTCACAGAAAACTGGGTGCTTCATGTGGTTTTTTTCCCCCTTCTCTTAGCAAACAGCCCTGGCAGTGAGATGCCACATTTCCAGTCCCTTGGAAAAAGAAGCTGCATGTGTGTCTCACCTGTGCCTGAAGGTTTGGCTCCAGGGCTGGTCCAGACAGTATGCCACTACCATTCATCCTAATTAATTTGGTTCAGGGGATGGAGCTAATGTATTAAAACCTGTTGCTTTTTTACAGTCCTTTTAGGATTCAGATAAAATATTCTATTGGTAAATTTGATTTGTCCTCTCTATTATCCGCTACAACTGTCACACGCAGGTACAAAGCAAACATAGTGTATATTCACATCTATGTGCTCTGCAGGCTTTGCCTGCAGTAGCAAAGTGCTGTGCCCTAAGCCCTCCCCCCATGTCCACTAAATTAATTTTATTGTAATTATGTGTAACATAATTCAAACAAACTATGAAAAACAATCCATCCTGTGACATTAAGACTTTACTACCCATCTGTCCTCAGCTTCCTGAATTATCATCCCTAGGACTTTCCCTGTCAGTGTAGTACAATACGGTTGACGGTGTTTATTCTGCAATAGGTGCAGAAACTTTGCTAGAAATGAAGCTGCAGACGGTCAGCAGTTGCTGCCATCATCCCTGAAGAAGGGTGAAGTGCTCCGCTCCCAGCCAGCAGCCCTCCAGCTCAGACAGCTCAAGAGCTGGAGCTTCAGCCTCTCTTGGGTTTCACCTACAGCTGCAGGTTAGGGGTGATCCTGCTCACAGCACTGCAGAGTCTCAATGACACCCGAGGAACCATTTCTCACCATCCTTTCCTGTCGAACACCGTCGCTGAAATGAAAACAAGCAAGACTAACCAGTGCAGAATGTTTCCAGCGATTTAACACAAGTCTTGTAAAAATGAGTGGATCTGTTTCAATAAATATGGTATAGCTCAACCATTGTATTTTCCTTACATGGATACAGTATAGAACTGCATGTTCTCAGGAGCCACATAAAGCTCAGTGACATTTGATTGGGTTTTTTTTCCTAGTGTCTTTTTTGCAAGATCCATATTTCCTTGTTGCTAGTAGAAATTTGGGAAGAAATGTTTTTCAGTGACTTCTATGTGAAGAAATAAAAACTCCATGAATAAGGCTACAGATCAAACTCCTTGCGTCCATCTCTTTTGCCTTCCCACACGAGTTACACGGGCACTCCTGTGATGATGGCCTCAGTGGTAGTTCCTCTGCAGTAAGAGCCAATGTTGCATGTTTGTAGCAGAGTTCTAGGTCAGATGTTTAGTCCAGTCATTGAGTACTTAAAAGCAGTTCAGGAAGCACTAATCTCCCTTTCCTACAGCCCCGAAACCATTACTCGGAAGGAGGGTGGCACGTGTCTGTGCCGAGGGCTGGCACTGGGGCTTACGCAGGGACTGGCACAACTAGCATCAACTCCTCCTATGGATGGCAAGTAGGCATGATGAAGAATGGGCAGCTGCAAAGACAGCCGACGCTGTATGCTGCGGGAGAGATATAGAGAGAGAAGTGTTAGCCAAGAGGAAAATGTTATACGTTACATGCCTGATATGTTTGCCGGTTGCTGCGAGGGTATTTTCTGTGTTTGCTGCTGTGATGGAGAGGGTTAATGCCAAAAGAATTACACTCATTGCTGTTAAGCTGTGCCGCTGTGTTATTTCCCCTTGGGGATTTTTTTCTGACAGGCTAGACATGACAAAGGAATCTAAGTTCTCAGCATCCCACAACCTTCTGAAATTCTCAGGCACTCTCAGGTTAATTGTTTGACTGCTGACACCCGAAAAAGGGAAAACCTTAAGTCTGCAATGAGGGCATATGACTTAGCAACCTCCCCCAGCAAAGTGCTCTATTGCATGCAGAGCCCTAGTTAGCTGTGTAGACATGCACGATGCCATGGCTGAGTTTTAAACCATGCATCACTTAGCACAAGGATATTAGAATGGAGGATGGCATTTTTGCAAGTCCAGCTAAGGCAAACACAGGCATACGGATGGAGGGAATTTGGACTGACAGCTTTTCCAAGTAGTTGCTCTTTGCAGTTTAGGTCTGTACTTTTGAGGTGCTGGATGCTCTCGAGTTCCTGCAGTCAGTGTTGTGGGACTGAGGAGTTGGCACTCTAAAAGCAGTCTAACCTACCACCCACACCAAAATTCAGTAGTTAGGAACCCAACATTCTGTTTCCAATTTTCCAAGCAGATTGACATCATAACTGGTAGGGTTTTGTTTTGTTTGTGTTTTTTAAAAGGGATACTAAACCATGCTCACAGCTAACCCCTCTCTGTGGAGAGGATGGTGCCATGAGACAAATGTTGTGCTACCGCCATGCTGTGGATGTACTAGCACCTTTCACAATATCAAAATCCAGATGAGGTTTGTCAGTACAAGAGATATTTCAGTGATTAAGATGTTATCATAACTGGACAGGTTCTGCATTTGGAAACATTCATTCTTGAAACAGAGAGGCACTTTTTAAAGTGAGAACAGATGTCAAAGTGACAGAGCTGAACTGAAGACTGGCTTTTTGGTTCCAGAAGAAAAATGCCAATACAAAGCATTGTATCAGTACAATAGTCTTAAATTTATGTTCTCCTGTTATCTTATACAAGGACTGTGCATAGACAGACCTTTATAAAAAGTGTATGTTTGAAAGTTTGCCTTTGGACAGCCTTCCTGATTCAAATGATGTTTAAATTCTTTTTTTGCTTTGTTAGGAAGAAGAGACAGCTAACAAGGCATCTATTGCACTGCTTGGGGACCAAGCACTAGAACTATCAAATTCAAACAGAAAGAAACGTGATGCTACTTCTCTGTAGTTTCTTCAGTAAAAACTAAAGCAGTGGAGGTAGTTGTAATCTGCCTATCTGGAAAATTCTTTCTTATTTCCTCATCCCCCAACCTCCCTTTAAAAGTTTGGTGAAACATTAATCCAGAGTGTTGTAGTGCTGGCGGTGCATTCCTGGGACTAAACAAAATCCATTCATTGTTACTTTGCTACTGTTCCTGACTTTTCCTGGTGCTATCAATGAAATCATGCCTCGTTCCCAAGGAGTGCAGAAATGGCATGGCTTGCTGCTTCCATGTGCTGCATCCTTATGAGCTTGACACTGCAGATTGTCATTCTGTCTCCTGTTGCAGGGTCAACCACAGAATTGCCCATACTTATTTTCCCACCAGTGGAAATGCTTACTTTGTTCAACTGTTACAGACTTCTCATTAAAGAGCTTTTTGAAGCTATTCCAAGTGAATCCAGTTGCATAATCAAGTGAATGGGATTTTTTCTTTTCACTCATTTGAAGTATTAGCCATACCATGGACAAAGCATGTTTATTTAGCTATGCTAATGGTGGCTGCAATGGGTGGCAAATTTTGCCTTAACTGTACTTAAAGTTTATTTTCACTTGAAAACTTGGTTCCTGGAAATTGAAGCTGAGGACTGTAGCCTGGAGACTCTTAATTGCACACAATTAAGAATTTAGGCAAAACTCTTAGGGGGAAGCACAAAACAGAACAAAAAAGTTACAAAATCCAAACAAACCTGCTATTTTCTTCTTAAGCAAAAGCAAATCTTGTACCTTGCCTCACTCTGTAGGGGTTTTTTTCTTCAATATCGGTGGTTTTTCCCTTCCCCCACCCCTGCCACATTTTGTCAGTGCTTTTGGGCAACCTCGGGTGTCAACACAGGCTGGGGGATGAAAGCATTTAGAGTACCCCTGAGAGGAAGGACTTGGGGGTATTGGTGGATGAAAGATCTGACATGAGCTGGCGGTGTGTACTTGCAGCCCAGAAGGCCAATTGTATCTTGGGCTGTGTCCAAAGGAGCATGTCCATCAGGTGAAGAGAGGTGATTCTGCCCCGCTATTCTGCTCTGGCGAGGCCCCACCTGTAGTACTGTGTGCAGCTCTGGAGTCCTCAGCACAGGAAAGATACAGCCTTGTTGGAGAGGGTCCAGAGGAGGGCCACAAAAATGGTCAGGGGGCTGGAGCACCTCTCCTGTGAAGACAGACTGAGACAGTTGGAGCTGTTCAGCCTGGAGAAGAGAAGGCTCTGGGGAGACTTTAAAGCAGCCTTCCAGTACCTAAAGGGGGCTTATAAGAAAGATGGGGACAAACTTTTTAGTAGGATCTGTTGCAAAAGGACAAGGAATAATGGTTATAAACTAAAAGTGGGTAGATTTTGACTAGCTATAAGGAAGAAATCTTTTACAATGAGGGTGGTGAAACACTGGAACGCGTCGTCCAGAGACGTAGCAGATGCCCCATCCCTGGATGTGTTCAAAGCCAGGTTGGATGGGGCCATGAGCTACCTGATCTATCTGAAGATGTCCCTGCTCACTACAGGGGGTTTGGAACGGGTGGTCCCTTCCAACTCATACCGCTCCCTGATTCTATGAATTTGTTTCAAGTTGTCCAGACAATATAGATATGTCAAAGCATATATATGGCCCAGTATGCTGGGCCGGGAATGGTTAGTATTAGTGGTTTTAGAATCAGAGGATGATAGACAACTGCTGAAGAAAATGGAAGGGAAAGGTGGTGCCACACACAGAGCAGCCAGTCACCAGAGTACTGTGTTAGAATAAGGCATATATCCTCAGCTCTGTATAAAAATGCCATTTATTAGGGATAAACAGAATCAAGTCAAAGCTTGACTTCCTATGTCAGTGCTCACAGGAACACAATACATTGCACATGGTAATACGTGATGCTACATCAGGGGCAGAGGTATTTGAAAAACATTTTGGTTCTGCTACAAAAAAACCACTGATGAGATCCATCGGTAAGTGGGGGGGACTGAAACAACTGCATTACAGTCAAACAGCTCAAGATGTGTGGGAGCGTGTAAACTGCCTCTAAACATCCAGGAATCATTCCAGTGGATTCTTCAGCCCATTAATAGAGAAGTTCTAAAAGACTACAACAAAGCAAGATGTACTAGCAAATAAACTAATAGTTCTAAATCCACTTTATTTTAATGACAGATTTGAGTAGGATCATAGATAGACTAACATGAACCACTGTCAGGGAAGAAACTGAATAATAGAAGCATGTTCATGCTGAGCCATATGGCTGTCATGCAAAAATCCAGTCATAACCAACTTTTTTTTGACAAGAATTTTTGGTTACTAAAATTGACATAGCTGGCTGCAGCAGGGTATTTGACTGTCTTTTTAAATGCTGCTAAAAGCAGAGCTTTAGCTCAAAAAAATAAAAAATCAAGGTGCTTTCTATTATAATGGTTACAAAGTGATAAGCTGCTTTGAAGGTTACTAAAATGACCACATAAAGGAAATAGTCTATCAAAATGGCAGGTTTTAGTGGGGTCCTGCAGAAATCTATCATCATCTTTACCCAGAAATCTGGAAAACTGTTACATATTGTTGCTCTTAAAAAGAGAACAGTATAAATTCTAATGGTGCCAAAACCTAGTTCACTGAATTTAGGTCACTGGTGAGATAACATGCAGGAATGAAGATGCACAGAAGAAAGTCTTTAAGGTAATGGAAGATATCCCACTGAATGTATTCATGTGACCATCTTGCAGATAAGCTGTGTGCAACCTAAGATGCGCTCTTTGGATAAGTAAGCAGGACTGCCAGCAAGAAAGAGTTGACTTTGGGTAAGAGACACCCCAGCCTACTGGGAACTGAATGATTCTATGTATTTTAAACTGGTTCAGGCTACTCTCTGGGTTGAGATGAACTGGCATGGTGCTGCTTCCATCCATGCAGCTAAGCTCCCCCAGACAAGGTTTTTGAACACCAGATTGGGCCTCAGCATTACCCAGGAGAGCCCAAGTGGATACAACTGTGCTAGGCAGTATGCTAACAAGCACCATGGAAAAATCAAAGTGCGGGGCTCGAGCCTGTGCACCAACACTGCTTTGCCTACCAGAGGAAGTGTTAATTTACACTGCGTAGTCAGTGCGAACAGTGGAGAAAACAGCCAGCCCCAACTTTTCGCTCCTCATATCTGATGGTCTGACTTGGGTATGGCATATTTTACATGGCACATGGATAATCTACTGGGTCATGCCCAGCAGGAAAGGGAGTGAGAGGCAAAGAGAACTGTGAATCATCTATAGTCATGCTCTAAGACTGCCTTACCATCATACAGACTGCATTTTCCGTAGGTGCAGGGTTCTAAATCTGAGCCAAGCACAAAACAAACTTTTTTCATGTAGTCACTGAGAGGACTACAAGGGCATTTAGCAGTAGGTCAAGGGGGAATGGCTTTAAGCTAAAAGAGTGTAGATTTAGGTAAGTTATTAGGAAGAAATTCTTTACTGTGAGGGTGGTGAGACACTGGCACTGGTTGCCCAGTGAAGCTGTGGCTGCCCCATCCCTGGCAGTGTTCAAGGCCAGGCTGGATGGGGCTTGGAGCAACCTTGTCTAGTGGGAAGTGTCCCTGCCCATGGCAGGGGGGCTGGAACGAGATGATCTTTAAGGTCTCTTCCAACCCAAACCATTCTGTGATTCTGTGATTCTATGATTCTACAATTCTGTGATGCAAATGTCAACCCATCAACACATGTGAAACAACTTACTGTACTACTGAGCCTGAAGTGCATGTGTACTGCTGTGCCTTTGGACACAGCTGTAGAATAAAAGATCGCACTTGCAGTTAGTCAAATGTAGCACTAGTGGTAAGAAAGAATGGAAAAATCTCAAACTGAAGTCTTTTCCACACTCTGAAAGAACTTTAATACTGGAAGATGACAGCCCTCCTCAGTGCCATCAATAGCAAGAAGCTGGGATGCTTCTTTTTGCTACAGCCATTAAAGAGTTAACGTTTCTGCAGGCAAATTACTATTTTAACATCCTTGTTTCATAAGTTTGTGTCAAAGAGGAAATCTTTTTCAGACTAATGTCCTTGAGATTCGTGTTCTTGAATAAGAAATAGGTTCAGCCTACCTCTCTACCAGATGCCCTATGCATGCAGTGAAATGAGAGAGAGAAGGCACAGACTACAGCTTGTCTTTAACTTCTTTTTGTGTGCTTGTTTGTTTTTGACAAAAATGTTATATTTAATAGCCATGGAAGGACAGAAGTGCTGCTGGACAAGTTGAAAATATGTCCACGTGTGCAGAAGGATATTCTTAAAGATCACAAAGTTCGGAAAAAGGCAATCTTCTGTCAAAAAGAGTGAATCACGAGAAGGCACAGACTACAGCTTGTCTTTAACTTCTTTTTGTGTGCTTGTTTGTTTTTGACAAAAATGTTATATTTAATAGCCATGGAAGGACAGAAGTGCTGCTGGACAAGTTGAAAATATGTCCACGTGTGCAGAAGGATATTCTTAAAGATCACAAAGTTCGGAAAAAGGCAATCTTCTGTCAAAAAGAGTGAATCACAAAACCCTAGTCCTGAAGATGGCTACAATTCTCCCCTCTGGCAGGTCCACTGTGCCTATGTGGTGTGGCTCTGGTATCCAAACTACCAGTTCATCCTCAGGGGAGATACTGACCCTTGGACTTGGCATAATCACAGCTGTGCAAGTGCTGAATGACACAGTTTTGATTTAGCAGGACTTTATTAATTGCTTTCCACAAATGTCAGTGACTGTTCAGATTTGACCTGCTCTTTAAGACCTTTAGGAAATCTCAGATTTCTCATCAGTTACCACTAGCCTAGAGGAAGTTCTGTCATTACTAAATGTTGGGTTTTTCCCCCCCTGTATTAAAGCTGTATTGGGACAACTGGATTATCTAAGTGTCTGTGTTTTTCTTAGCATCTCTCTTAATGTAAGGGGGCCACGTGTGGATAAGGCTGCCTTCACACTACATTATTTCTGACAAATGGTGCTGCAAAAAGACAGACCTCTAATAGCTATGCATTAAAGCACTCTGCTGGCCCTGTAAAGTCACGAGAGCTTTCTCAGTGAGAGCCCTAGTTTTGTGAAATAACCAATAATAATAATAATAATAATAGTTATTTCACCCAGTGGGGGCTTTTTTTTTTTTTTTTTCTGTGCACACGTGTGCATGTGTATGTGTATTAGCTCTCTTGCAGGTTTGGGTTAGGATTGTTTATGAGTGTAAGGACAGAGTGACAAATCCATGTGTTTTCCTGCACCAGGTAGTACAAGGCAGTAACTGCCATGTGAAATCAGGTTTGCTGTCAGTGATGTAACATGTGACTCAGCCTAGTAGTTTGTTTAATTTATTGTGTTTTTAAATCAGCTTTTAACTTGCCTGTGTACAAAACAGGAGTCTGACAGCTGTTAGCCCAGATCCTGATGAAGTGGTGCCCATGCAACTAGGCTGCCATGGGGAAACGGCTGATCCAAGGACAAATGAGCAGGGTGCTTCCCTGAGCTGTGGCCCACAGAAGGCCCTGCTGAGCTAGAGGAGGGTAGTATGTGATTTTATTGTATAGGTTCCTGGAAAGAAAAGTTGATAGCATAAGAGTCTTTCCCCTCCATGAATCTAGCAAGTGTTTTGTGCCATCCTTTCCTTGTAGCCGCAGCACTGTTTCTAAGGGAAACTACTTGGTGCAGGCTTTCCTGTGCCAAAACCCAGGACCAGCTGCTATGGCAACAATGAAAAGCCCTCAGACTCTTTTTATTTCTCAGTTAGTCTAAGATTCAAAGAGAACAAAATGGCTATGTACACCGTGAACTCCTCTGGCTGGTGTGTGGAAGGACTTGAACTTTTGATAATAGTCATGGCATGTGCGTGCACATATCTTTAGACATCGTGTTATGGATGTTTCTAACAAGAGAAAAGAATTATGTTAGTCTGCCTTTGGGGCATCTTAGGATCTAGTGCCCCTGATATCTTTTACATTTGGTGGGGATGGTGAGCTGGTGGCATGGAGGCATCACAGTACAACAGTGGTGCCTCAGAAAGTGCCATTCACATCTGTTGCTGAAGGTCCAGGCTTTCTCTGTGTAGCTGGTGCTGACTGAAAGGGTTTACAATGAAGGTCTTCCCATAAAAATTCATGAAAGAGAAACATGGGGTTTGAAGAAATGCAATAATTAAAATTTACACCTTATCAGCAAGACAGCTGATGTCCAGGATGGAATTTATGGCTAAAACAACAGAAAGTGAACAAGTCCAAGCACATGTATGGTGAGAGCATGCATTTCTTTCTGAGAAACAAAGGAGTGTCCCTTTCTGTACCAGGATGTTATGGTGTATACTTACTGTTCTGGAGAGTTGATGTCTTCTATAGGATCTTTGCTTGTTCTGGAAGGGTCTGATGAGCCCCATTGTGCTGGTGGATTTTGATCAAGATGATTTTTCAAAATGGCTTTCTCACCATCTGGATGGACAACACATTCAATTTTACCTTCCTGTGACCAAGTGACCATTTTTAAATCACTTCACCTTAAAATTTCCCAGATGTTAATCATGCCATGAAATAAACCCTTTCTGCTTATATTCCAATACAGAGACAGGTTTCCCTGTGAGTCTTTGGTACTCTTATGTTTTTGCTGATGTGCTCCTTCATAGGAACTAGCATGGAGAAGCAGAAAAGGGACAAAAACTCTTTTGACCTTCATTTGCTCTCCCGCAACCCCACTTCAAAAAAACCCAAACACAAACCAAGCCTTGTTGCTCATCTCTGTGTAGTCTTACCACACTCTCTCACCCATTTTAGGTTGTGTAAAAAATTAATGTAACTGCAGCATCATATTAACTTGCACTAAAACATTGTTACCTTTTCATATGAGGAAAACCTCTTATTTTACTGTTTTCCTAGAAGAACCGTGTTCTCATTGATGTATAAAACCTTGGTACTCTTGCAATCTCATAAGCAATTAAGTGCTGTCATTTAACTATCTGCTATCATTTAGCATGGAAATATGATTCATACGAGTTGCGCTGGTCCATAGTCTGCCTGCAGGAAGGACAGCTAGTGATTTCATTAAGCTTTCTCCTGCTGCTCTCATTTCGGCATAGTGATAATACAGAAGATAATAATTTTCCCTGTAGGTAGCTTCACTTGTTTCCCCTGGGTGTCCCAGGAGTCCTGGGCTAGCTGTGCTGAAGCCTGTGGCATCGGTCCCCCTGAGAAACGCAGACGTACACAGACGTTTTAAGAAGTCTGCCTTCACCAGGGATCCCTTCTGTTCCTGCCTGCTTTTCCAAAGTCTCCTCCTGTGTTGAGCCAAATAAAGTCACATGGAAAACATCTGAGTAATGAGGACAGTGCACAGTTTTCATAAATAATTACAGAGAAGCTACAAATCCATCACCAGCAGTTGTTTGCCACACACACAGAGAAACAGTGATTGCTGCAGGCATTAAGGCAGCATGGAGAAGGACCTGAAGGTAAATTCTTGAAAAGGATACTGGAGGATTTGAATGCAAAAAATGGGTATAAGGAGGAAAAGACAGAAAATAGCATAGAGGAAATGAAAATAGCACAAGAAAATCCCAGTGTGCATTGAAGGCTTAAGCTGATTTTCTGTTCTACTAATGCTCAGAAGCTTCAAATAATGCTCAGGTCCCAGCATGTTAGGAATATATATGTTATCAACAAGCACTGGTGGGACAAAACAAGCAGTGGAAACAAAGAACGAGTAAAGAATCTGGAAGCAGAAAGAGGAATGTTTTGAGGGAAACTCCAATACGTATAATTGCCCTCCTAGCATGGGCATCCCTGGCATTAATTTGTAGCATTCACTTTCTGCTGTGAAAAATCTAACAAGCAACCTGGAAATAAGTGAGTAGGTGAGGATGCAACTATGTGCAGACATGGGGATCAGTACAGCTCAGAAGAGCAGGAGGGAGTATTTTTCACTTATGTTGCATGGAAGTGAAGGGTCTGAGGGAGAAAGGAGGCAACCAGAACACATGAAGCTGCTTCTGTTGGGGCAAAAAAACATCAGTAAAAGAGAGCTAAGGAATTCAGCTGTAGCACGAAGAGTGCTTAAAAGGATGATATGGCAGGATTTAGTGATGGTTTAGATGTGAAGGGAGGACAGCAAAGTGCCAAACCTGACAGTGGCTAACATAAGCAAGTCTATCATCTCAGGGCAGCTTGAAGTTTGCTGGTGTGGCATTTGCTGTCACAAGATTTCAGTTCTTATTTTCCATATATCACATTTCTATGTATATTAAGCTTGACATTTGCATAAAAGCCTTGTGATGTCTATAAACAGACACATAGAACACTCTTTACTTCCATGATTAAAACCAACATTCAGTCCTGAGCTGATCTAAGCTGACAACGAAAACTGCTGACTTTATGATATAGACCGAAGTTAAAATTTGAGTGATCCTTGTAATTAGGGATGGAAATGTATATTATTTAACTATTTTAGGGTTCCAGCTCCTTCGGCCAAGATAAGCAATTTAATCTTTTACAAAGCCACCGAGGATGCAAATCTTCATCCAATGACTGGAATATGCAACTGTTGGGCTTTGGGAGTATGTTATTTCATATCTGTGTTGTACGCCCCTAAAGGGGTTTCTTTGTGCTGTGAGAGAGAGAGAAGGAGGTGGTCCCTGTCAAAAAGGTGGGGGATTTAGTTTAAAGCAGAGCAGTAATCATATATTCTCTGCCTACTCACCCCTCAACACCAACTGCCCGTATATCACTGTGTGTTATTCTTAATAGACCCTTTCCTACCACTCTTGCAGATGACTCTCCCTTAATACACTGCATAAATTTCTGTAAGTAAAGTTACTATATACGGGTTTTAATGTATATGTATAAAATACAGACAAAATCCACATTAAAACTGCCACAATGTTGAGATTTTTTTTTTCTTTTCCCTCTGCTTCTTTCAAAATACAAAAAATCTGGGCAATTCTTATTTGTTAAGCTTTTTGGGAGAGGAGTTGTTAGATTTTTATTCTGCAGCTATGGAAACAAGAATATCTTTCTTTTTTCTTTTTTGTTTTTCATTTACCTTTCATTTAAATAATGAAGAACAAAATTCTCACTTAGTCATATGCTTCCAGGAGCTGGAGCTTAAAGAAAAAACACTATTACCATATGCACTTCAAAAACTTCAGGATGGAGGAAACTGATTTTATATACATGAACAACTGAAAGAAAATAAATTAAGGGTAATGGTAAACATTTGTGTTCCCAACTTCGCCTGGAAAGTGTAGCACTGCTTTTGGTACTTCCACCTCTTTTCTTCCTCTGTCCACTAAGTATGCCACTTGAAAAATGCCCTTCATTCTTAGACTAGTGTCTGCCACCACAGATGCTACTGAACAAGTTGCACTGGGATGATCTAGCTCCCTTCAAAGCTGAATTTACATTAGCCAGAAACACTTTCTAAGTAATTTTCACCTTCGTGGACCTCAAACCGGAACTCAGAAGTCTAGATAAGTGATGCCTGAGCACTTTCCATTTGGAAAACTGTTGTGAAAAAAGGCAAATGGATCTCAAGGGCCTTGCATGACACTCACTGATGGGTTCATTAGAAAACAAAACCTGCTGCCCAATTGTCAGTGAGAGCCAGAAGGCTTTAGCTCAGGACCTTTGCCTACCTGCAGCAGAGAAACAACTTCCAATTACAAAGCTCTGAGCTGCAAGAGCACATCTGATGCTGGCTGTGGGGAGGCTCAGTGAGGAGGTCACTGTTCCCAGCTGCTCGCCTCTCCCTCTGCCAGGGGTGATGCTCATTTCAGACATGCCGTACGTATAATGGCCCTGCAACCTGGTGCTGTCAAAATTACCTGGGCTGGCTTAAATGCGCTGTGCATTTTAACAAAGCCTGTTCGGCTGCAGGCAGAAAAAAACCAGGTGACTGCCACTGCTGCTATTTCTTCCAAGATTTTAGAAACTGTATTTCTTTAAGTAGAAGCTTGTTTTGTTGCCATTTGTACACTACAGCATTATTGAACATCTTCATCATTGCACTTTAGCAGCAATATTCCTCCCATGGCTTACAACTGGATGGCAGAACTGCTCTTTGCCCTGCATCTTGTAATTCCACTGTTGTTTTCTCTCTGCTAGAAAGCATATTTTATGCTCCACAATGAAGCAAGTGTGGTTTAATAATGACTTATAAGAGCTGGCAGAGATAACCTTGCTGATTTACTCAAGAACTCTGGAAACTTTAAAGCTAGAGGTAGATTGTTAAAATCTGCTGTAATTTTTCATAGTTCTGTTTTGAGTGGGAAACATGACTCGCCAGGAAAAATTAAAATGAAAGGAAAGATTAAAAGGATCACATTGTCTGCTGGGTATATCAGAAAAAGTTCTCCTGAACTAAGCTCACAGCACCAGGCAGTCTAAATCATGACATCTGATTGCTATGTTTTGAAAGGAAGAGTTCTTAAAAGAAAAGCCAGCAAGATTCTCCTCTGATTCATACTACTTTAAATCAGAAGAAAGTCCCTTTACTATAGATTTATTCCGTGCAAGGAAGGGCAGGCATTGAACCTCTGGCAGTTTGGTCTCCCTGTCGACATAGAAACAAGCTCCAATTTCGGATTTCGACTCTATTTGTTATGCTTCATAGAAACTAGTATATGTATCTCTATATATTTCTGTATACAAGGGATATAATAAACTATATCCTTTCCTTAAAACAGTGTTCCTTTAAAGGAGTTATTTCAGAAAGCCTTTCCTTTGAATCTGTGGTTTCAATCTCAGGTTTAATGCTTGAATCACACTAACTTCATAGAAGTAATATTTCTCCCCTCTGTCACAGATGAACTCTGTTTTTCTTGACGTTTATAAGCAACATGCCTTTGAAATCTGTTTTTCTTTGAGCTGCTTTTCCATAGGGAAAAACTAACACTAGAAAACATTGGAGTGGGGTGACAACTGACAGTATGTAGGCATATCTGACATGTAAATGAATGCTCCCAGTCCATTTACAGCAATGAGTAAAGGCTGTTTTCAGACTCAAAACAGAAAAAGCTTTCTGAGCAAGCAAGGGTGCCTGCAGAGAGAGAAACTGGGGAAAGGGTTTGTCCATAAGCGGGGACTGTTGCAAGGCTGTCTCTTGCTTCTTGTGTACTTTCCATACGATGACTGTAGTTCATTAATTTCCCTAATGCCCTACCCTGAAATGTACTGACAAAGGTAGAAGTAAATGGAGATTCTTCTGCGGGATTTCTTCTGAGCTTGGCTTTATATGAACCCCTTGCAATCTATGAATCATTCATGTAGAAATAATTTCATATAATAAAATGTCAAATAGAAGTTAAGTAGAGTAAGATTGTAGGATTCCAAGCATAGCAAAATTATCCAACCTCCTCCCCCCCTCCCCCCAGGAAATTCTCTGTATTTTTTAAACTTTTATCTCTGCAGGGACTTGCACAGTAGAAATAACTTCTACCTTCACAAAGTCTATCCTGCTTCTGGCACACCAGTTACATGGGTGCCAGGAGCCCTTTAGGGAAGCTCTGGTTAGTGCCCATGCCAGGGTATTTCTTCCCTGGAGCTGTGCAGCACAACCTTCCTCTTTACACAGCATCACAGTTACAAGCATTTGTCCTCCTTTTTCCAAATGTCAGCCTGGAAAACTCAGCCATGTCTCCAAGCTTGGCTCTCTTTTCTGAACGACACTGCCAGTAACAGAACTGCCCGAGCCAAGTGCTGGTCTCACCCACAGCCCACCCCTGCCTCAAACCCAGGCTGTAATGCAGCCCTGCTGCTCCAGCAAGGTGACCAGATCCCACAAATGCCAGGGGAGAAGCTCATGTTGCCCTGCACACAGAGCCGAGGTCACTAGCAGACACAGTGGCTTAAAATCGTCTGAGGAATGTATAAGAAGTTAGAGGGATGCCCTTTTAAATTCAACTGAGAAAGCCACTTGATTGAGGTCCCAGAGCTGCAATCCATGGAGCTCAATGGGAACTGCTTGACCACACAAAGCTATCTAGCAGTGCAGACAGAAGCCTGCATTAAAAAGTAAGCAATCAAGCCATTAACTACAAGCCACATTTTCCTAATTGCATTTCTTACATAGCCAATTGCTGTAGATGTCTTGGGGACATTAGAGGTTTGTGAACAAGAGATGAGTGACTCTGATAATGTCTGTCTTTAAACGAGATGTACTGGAATGAGCTGTAAAGAAGTCCCCATGCTGGCAAAGACCTCCAGGGCTACACCAGGAGCTGTTGCTGTTAAAAACTAACCAGGAGTCATAAAGTTTGGAAACTCTGCCTAAGGTCAGGCAGTTATAGGAGTAAACAGCTGTGTCTGCCTATTTTGGCTGAAGTGATTTAAATTTTGTATCCTAAATTCCATATTTGATGCAAATGAGGGTGGTGGGTAAGGAACAGAAAGGTCAAATAACCTCCTTTGGCACTTGGCTATAGGAGTTAGTAATTTTAACTCTGGACAATTTTTATGGATGAGAAACCTACTGAAGTGTACAATGACATTAAAGTTTTATTAGGACTTGTTTGAGAGGCATTGCGTAAGTCCTGTGTTATTATCAGTTCTCTGAAGTGCAGTGAATTTGTGTAAGCAATAACAATGGAATACACTACATGGAATTTTCTATGTGAACTCCTTAAGAATGGCAAAGCATTTTATAAAGAAGACTGACAGGATTTAGCCGTGTCCACAATACAAATGTGGCAAATGATCTGCTATGATTTTTAGCTCCAAGTCAGCTGCTATTTTTAGCTTCTCTCTTCACTATCCTACTCCCACTCTCTCAGCTCACATATTTTACAAGGTCCAAGGTAGGCACAAACCTTGTCATCACCTTAAAAGCAACACCGGACTGGCTTCCTCAGTTGCATGGTGGAGGTGAGAGACATGGTCACTTCTAGAGGTCATGCTAATTATTCACAGTTCCAAAGCTTCGCTCAAGTACCATCAAGGACACTAATTTCACAGTTCTGTATTTTCATTTACAGAAAGTTACATGAAATACATAGTTACAGAAAGCATAGTTGTGTCACTCAGAGTTAGCTTTCCTATAGCCGTAAGGGCCAGAATTTTTTTAAGTACAGTTTATGTGATGTCTGTTTGCATCTGCACAGAAGCAGCAGTGAGTCAGCAGCATGAATTCTCCAAAGCCTTGTTATTTTGATTGGAATGGCAAATTTAAATTAAGGACATAGGTTGACTATTGGGAATGGATGCAGTGAGAGAAACAGAGAGCAGATTCAGACATGTAGCTAAGAGACAGGGAAATAGGGAAAGAGCAGAAGAAATGGAAATGGAGGGACAGAAAAAGGCTAGCAAGGGTTGTGAACATGGTGGCTCAGAGCCTGGAAGTGTTAATATTTGATGTCACTTGAGTCAGGATCAGGGTACTCCAAAACACCCATGCTTTGGACATTCACTGCTTGGCGTGGGACCAAGATTCAACTACCTGCTGCAAACTGGGATCCAGGTTCTTCCTCATTCCCAGGTGAATGGATCCTCTAACCTGTCCAGTATAAAGAGGGCCAAGGAAAAAAGTCCTTCTTCACCTCCCTCTTTTGTGTGAAGCTTTATGTAGTAGATCCATTCAGAAAACTGTGCCCAGTGACTTAAGTGTGCAGAAGAATATCTACCCTGTAAATCCTGATAATACATAGTTCCAAGCCACTCTGTACATTAGGGCTTAGTGCTTACAGGTGATTTTAAATATATACCCTGCAGCAGAAATGTAGTTCTGCTGCTTAAAGCAGAAGTTAGGCATCAATGTCTTTTGTAGATACAGCCACAAGTAAGTGCAGAAAGGTTATATTTTCTCCTTGATTTCTTTGCCAGCATCCTACTGCTAATGGAGTGCAACCTGCTGTGGGAAGCATCCCATCCTAAATTTATACCCGTTGTATCTCTTGAGAATCATTTTTGTTTCTCCAACCCAAACTCAGATGGGCATTTGGCACAATGTAATGTATCTTTTCTACTTGAAACATTATTCATGATTTATCATTTTTCCTGGAGCATCTGACATGAGTGGAACATTCTATGTGTTCCTTTCAAACACTTGGTAAAACTGCCTCATCCCACTCACTGATGTTAGTTCTTGCTGCTGATCTCAGCCCAATAATCACACGCCTCCAGCAGCTATTTACGTTTTCCTTTTCCTCCTTTCCCTCCTTCTGTTTTTTAATTTTAAAAAGGACACTGGGAACTCTATGGAGCTCTTCCCTTTTTTTTTTTTTTGTCTCTCACAAGTTACACAACCAATTGTATACCCAGGATAAAACAAAAGGCGCATGAAAAAGTAACCTTATCCAACCAAAACTTCAATAGGCTTCAAAAACATATGTGAACTGTTGCTGTTGTTCTAAAATTATTCTTCAACAACTATATTTACAGGAGGAGCTTCTGTTCCACTTAACCAAGCTTATGCTGCCACATCAACAGGAAGCCTGAGCCTCTCATTGCAACAAACATGCAAGTCTATGACTTCCCAATACAGGGCAACTAGTTTTTCACATACTATAGTAATATTCAGGTCTACAAAGTCATTTGCCAAAAGTCACAAAGTAGATCCATTCTAGAGTCACAAATGGAAGCTGGGTGTCCTGGCTTCCTCTTTATGGCAGTATGCACCAGATCTTATTGCTTCCCAAAAGCAAAATAGCCTTAATGGAAGCAATTTTTTCACACGTATTTCTTTAGGGAGCAATACAAGAGACACAGTAGAAACAACTTAGGAATATTACAGTCATCATGACATACTTTTTTATCAGTTTCTAGGGAAGAATTTTCATACATGAGTGCCTTCAATTCTACATTTAGAGTCCAAATCATCACTGAAATATTTACATGCTTCTCTTCTACGTGCTTGTTAGCAGTGTCCAAAAGAAGGATTTGAACACCCTATTCAGACAAGCACATATTAAACTGGGCTTCCTACTGATGAAGGCTACTCGATTAACTCTCACAAGATCTGAAACATTCTGTGACTTTCCTACCTCCAGGCAGCCAAGAAAACTTGACTTCAGAACACAAGCACTCTTTTGTAAGTTTTCCACTTTACCGTGTGTGTTATACACACAGGGCATACAATAGAAGAAAATGTACGGAGAAATAACTACTCAGTGGGTACCACATAGCTTATTATCTGAATCTGCATGCTTTCTGTAGCACAACCAAAATATTTAAAGCTCTGGCTTACCACGGCCTGAGTGCTCAGGAACCAATTCAGTGAGACTGCTATTCAAAACCTTTGTGAGTTAAGCTACTAATGGATTTTACTCTTACCTTTACTGTCTGTAAAGTTCCGTATACTAAGAATGTCATTAAGATCTTGATAGTGGTTCTGCTTAATGTATGTTGTTTTCTCAGGAGTGTCCTGAAGTTGCATTGTGACCTCTTCCAAGTCCTTGTCCAGCTGCAAAAGAGAAAAATATGAATCCCTAAAAATTCAAGTCTTCAGGTATCTGCAATGACTGCATAACTTTCTGTAATTAGACTACAAGGCAGGTTGTAACGCAATTTCCACACGGTGTGAAATACACCTTTCTTATAGCACTACAACACTACTTCTATAAATCATATTGCAACTAACAAACTGAGTTCAGTTGTGAAATTGCATATAGGACGCATGAGAAGAATAAGCTTCAGTAGTTGAAAGTTTAAGCAATTCAGATGTACTGCTGAATGAGAAAGAAATGGGCATTAGAAAAACCAGTCTGAAAACCTCTCAACTGTCTATTATTTATGCGTACAAATTGTGGCATGCATAGCTATAACCACTTTGTTGAGTCAATCAAATTATTGATCATACAGGAGAATATAAGTAAACTATAGCATCAGGGGCATGTCCAGCCACGTGAGTGACTGCAGTCAACTCTACAGGAACATTTTGTTTTCCTAAAGATTTATTTTTACTCCTTTTACCTTTCTTAGAGAGACAGACTCCTGTTAGACTGTTTTTGCTTGTGCCTCTGTGAGTGTGAAATCTTGAAGAAAATCTAACTCATAGATCTTAGTTTTGGGGCTGAGAACACTCAATACCTTTGTGATTTGAAAACTACCCCATGTTTTATATCTTTTATGTCTTAAACTCTGTTATCTGATAGTTAGCACTAAACTGCTGTTGCAAGCATAATTTTCCAAGAGGGAAAAAAATGGAAATAAGGCATGGGGGAAAAAACAGAAATCCCAGTTCTCTCTCTCCTCAGAAGCATCCTTTAAGCCTAGAAGAAGAGGGACAGGGAGAGAAGCACAGGTGTTTTCTGACTGGAAAAGCCACAGCACAAATGCCAGGCAGGTACACTCCTAGCTTTTAGCACTGAAATGAACATAGGGTGCATTCCCCAGCGGCTAACTTGTATTCAATTGGCTACAGCTCTAGCAGAAAATAACCGGATACAAGCATCATAATGGTGATCTTGGATGCTCTCTGTGAAGAACTGTACAGGATGTGGTGTTCAGAGTATATCTCACTAACTACTGGCTTATCTGAATTTCAAGTGCTGAATTTAAATTTACACTGATTCCTTATAGAACTGGGACATAGCAACTCAAGGTAGATAAGCCAGAGATGTAGCTGCCAGCCCACAGTAAGGCATGCTCCAAATCCCCTTGACAATGAAACACTTATTTGGACCTACTGGTGCTGGGTATGTAATCTAGTTAAGCAAAGTCTAAAAAGATCAGCAGTGCACTAATATGGCTTAGTTGACCTGACCAGACTTACCTGTGAGCCTTGCAAGGCACAGGTTGAGATCTTGTGAGTTAGGAGACTTAGTAGAAAAAAAAAAATAGGATAAAGAAAGTGAAATAGCCAGTAGCCAACTGAGCCTTCGTTAAAAACTGCAAGGCTCTTACATGAAAGGAAACTGGAAAAGCTGATATAAGTTTCTTTAACAAGGCAGAGAGAACTTTTGTTTTTGGAGTCTTTGGTAGTCAGAGTAAACACCTTTTGGTTACCTAGGCAACTGTTAGTTAAGATCTGGATGAAGAAGTAATGGTTGCAATAAAATACCTTTTCTTCAAGGTGTAAGAATACTTCACAGACTAGGCAAGAGCAGGTTAATTTTTTTTAAGATATAGATCAGTTATGGTTATCTTGTCTCATAAAATGGGAAGTCTTCAAGGCTGATTTATCATAGTTTAAGGTCCTGAGCAAGGATGGATATAATTAAAAATATACATGTTACAGCACCAATGGAATTCATGCATCCCATGTACTTAGCCTTTCTCTTGGTAGAGACTGAAGAAACTTCACAGCTTTTCTGCCAGAAGGATCAGCTTACATGACCGTAAAGATCTTTTCCACCTTAAGAAAGTACGTAATTCTGTTTCATGGTAGATGTAAAAGTCTGTCTAGGAAGTTATTGAGTGAACTCTCAGAGACGCTGACAAGTAACAGCAACTGAACAGTCTCTGAACTCAGCCATAAACAGGAACAAAGATAGCTCTTAAGTTTACACTTGCGTGTAAAGGTTATATTTGCAGAGCTATTGCTCTGTGGTGCTCAGCACATCCATGTGAAACAGCAGGGTAATTTGCCTGTTACAAATAAATAGGGAAAGTTTCATTTTAATTTGCTAAGGTGCATTTTCATTTTATCATACCTGCCAAGTATTTGCTGTATTAATTAACTATTCACACAAATCATCTGCTTCCTATTATTTCAGTATTTTCCTGTTGAGAAATGATTTTTTTCCTCTAAAAAGTAGTCAACAACTAAGCAGATTACAGAACTGCAATGAAAAATAAGAATAATAAAAAAAGCCTACACAGTATATACACTAAACAATACCTCTGTAATTTTCATTCTCAAGCGGTGGTTCTCTGACTGCAATCCTTCTAGCCGAGATGTGCTGGCCTGGTTGACGCTGGTGACTGATGTTGATGTTTTTGAATCTTCTTTCTTTTGATTTTGAGTGAACTGAAATCGTCTGTTCTGTGTGGCTGCATCTGGATTTGTCCTCAGTGTAATGAGCTGAAAGGTTTAAAAGCCTTAAGAAATCCTTAAGAAACAGTTTTATTTTTGCAGCTATTATTTCTTTCGTAGCTTAAAATGTTGAAAGGCAAACAAAGAGTTCCTTTCTGACTTTCAAGTACAAAATTCTGCAAAGTGAGCTCTGCTTGCCACGTGCAGTACTTGAGACAATTTCTGAATAACTTTACAGAATAGGTTGAACTAAAATGATTTTGCAAAGGGAAGTGTTAAAAAAATTAGAAAAAAAAATTTAAACATATTTGAATTATTTTCATGGCATTTAAAATATATTTTAATATTTCATCAAACTTTTTTTTTCACGTTATTTGATATCTTTATACTTTCAAAGGATATATTCCTTTTTTAAGAAAAAAAAAATAACCCACCAATCCCCTCTCTTGCCAAGCACAGTTTCATCTGAAATTTCTCCTTTCCTACTGTTACAAGTAACGCTCAAGCAGAGAAAGACATGAAGCAGGAGTATTAACCAAAAGAACTCATGGGAGATTGCACTCTGGAGATAACAGAAACTTAATTAGGTTTTACTGACCCAAAATAAACCAGATCTGTTCATATAAATTAAGTAAGTCACCTGAGGTTAACCTTAAACATATTTAATTTAAGCAAATATAAGTAAGATTTAACACTCAGTAACAATGTGAAAATATTACCTCGACATGAGGGAAAAAAGCTACTAGATGTTTGGCAGGGGAGAAAGAACTTCTCAGATTACTCTAGAGAATACAGAATTTATCATTACTTGTCAAGCAGTGTACATATATATTTACATACAGGCAAAGCTGAAGGAGCTCCCTTCCCTGAGGGCATGGACATTGCATCATAAATTCAAAGGTATGAAGTTTTCTTAAAAGATAGATGGGACAATCTTTCTTTAAGCACAGCCAGATTTTGTGGTATAGCCCCATTCTGGAATTGGTTCCTCGTGTTCCTCAGAGCATGAAACTGTTCTGCATCTGCACTGGCTTGAAATAAGGACCTAACTTTCGATCAAGTAGTGAAGTAATGGTTCTCCTGGAAAATACTATAGGCATGCTGGCCCTTAAAAAGGTAATTAAACCTAGTTAACTTCTAACCAGAAAAATATATATAATGTATGTTTGAATTCTGCAGATCACTTCTGCAAGATATCCTCGAACCCAGGAATCTGAAATAGTTTAAAAAATATTTGGACATTTATTTGATCAGATAATAAGAATATCTACAGTTTCTCAGTTACTCTAAGTAGGATGCAATATAACACCTATCAGCATTTGTATCTGAGGATAACTTTAAACAGAAAGAGTGATGAACGTTTTTCCCCTGATCTGTCTTACTCTACTATGGGATTTTCCTCCCATTTTCCTGAGGAATTTGGTGCTGAACAAAACTTCAGTGGATGACGTGAACATTTAACTGGAGAAGTACAGTAATTGCCATGTTTTAAGTAAATAAGATTAGTAGAACTGACAAGAAGAAAGGGGAAAATACCATGTTTTGTTCCTTACTTTGCCTACATTGTTGAATAGTTGCCTAGTCAGATTCATAAAAGGGCTGTGGGGCAAAATTAAATTCCAGCACTGTTGGCCCAGGAGACAGTTGAAGATTAGTTAAAAGGAATATGTTTTGCTCTGTACAGCAGAGAAGTAGAAGTACTCACCTGCCCCAAAACGTTACTGCTTGCATCTGCCTGGCCACAGTTTAATAAACGAAAAGTGCAATCTTCCTAGTTTCACTGTCATCTCCCACACTTGATGAGCCACAGACTCATCAAGCAGCAATCTCCCTATGTCTTCAAAATTGTACTAATTGACTATATACTTCTTAAGGGGAGAGATCTGGTGCCTGTGTCACATTGACATCTTACCTAGATGTACAAACTGGGTGGTGCCAGATGTAATCTGCAGTGTCCAGACAGGCTATTGTGAAACCTGTGCTGGAGCACGCTCAAGGAGAGAGTGCTTGCCAGCCACCCTGCTACAACTGTGGCACAGCACGGCGAGAAGAAATGTGGGGCAAAATATACGAGTGTGAGAACTCTCCAGCTGTGAAAGCACTCACATGAGCTTTGGAAGTGCTGCATTCCAGCTCCTGCTTCAACCCCCTTTTTTTTTTTTCTTGTAGCTTATACAATGACCATTTTTAATGCAAAATAGCTAAGCATTTGGGAACCTGACAATACACAGAATGAGAAGAAGTACTTCACACTAGAAGGCTATGGTTCATGTGTGTATTTTGAGTAGAAAGAACTGAGAGGAAAAATAAGGGGAGGGTAACTGGGGTTTAAAAGAACAGCAGATGAAGGGGTTAAAAAAGGAAACAGAAAAGTCATTTCAGAGCCTGTGGCAGAGAAAAGAAGGATGGGCAAAGGAGCATGAAAGCAAAGGGGCAGAAGAGCATGTCACAGCATTAATAATATTTTCTCTTTGAAGAGAGTTCTGACATTCTGTGGAGGTATTTTTGGCATCAGAGTTTTAATATGCATTTTCATGCAGCTTACACACTTAAATCTTGCAGTATTTTGAAGTACTCTCCATCGCTGTGTTTGTGAATGTACCCTTAATTTAGAAAGAAGTTGTGATTCTTCCCTAAAATACAGAATAAAAATGTGACTATATATATGTCTGTACAGCTTTTTAATATTTGAGAAATGAACTGCAGAACTAATAAGAACATCCTGGTTAGCCAGTCCTGGAGAATAAATTATTTTGCTATTTTGCAGATCAGAAGTCAGCTTCTCTTGCTAGTCTGCGCCTCTAATTTCTTTCAGAGGGAAAACTTTGAGGTAAATTTATTAGCTTGTTCCTTTTACACATATAGTTCTTGGTCCTCCTGTAAGAACCATCACCAAGGGATGCCACTTAGCACCAGATTTATTTGCTATAATTTGCTCAGTACATGATTGAACATGGACCAGTAAAGAGTCACAAAATTTTTATCATCACTGTTCTTTTGAAAATCTAATATCAGATTCCAGAGGTGCAAGGATCTGCATCTTGACTCTTGCCTTGCAAACGTTTCAGATACCCAATTGTACACACATCTAATTTGGGGTAATAAGATAGGTTTATGGAAGTTACTTAAAATGAATACGATTATACATTTGACTTAAAAATATCAAATACATTCTCCAGAACTTGGAACCTTGCTAAAGTAAGCTTATGTAGAAACCGGTTTCCCTTCATACAAGACGTGTCATCCTCACATCTAAAGCGAAATGATCAAGTTCCATCCCTCTGTGGCTAAGTATCTTCTCAGTTCTTCTAACAATGCACAACAAACGTATCTTCAGAGCCCAAAAGAGCAAAAAAGAAATGAAAGCATATGCCTCCCAGTCTTTGCCTCACTTAGTCCATTCATTTACATATTAAAAAACATATTGTCAGTGTCAGCATTTGCAGCATACATAGTTTTCCTCTATAGGAAGGGAAGCCTGTTGTACCACCGTACTTGAATACCTTAGAGGTTTCAACACAGTTGACCTTACAGCATGCCAGTGAACTAAAAAGCTCGTACTGTTTTCCAGGTATAGAAGCAGAGATCTTGATTATCTTGCTTAGGGTACATAAGAAACATGGCAGAGCAGACAACTGGACCTGTCCCTCCCGAACCCCCACTTATCACCCTTTCCAAAAAGTTCCCAAAAATTCAAAATGGAGGCTACTGAAATTACAGAAAACAACCTTTGTTTCCCCAAGTCATACATTCAGTAAAGGTATAGGCATTAGAAACACATATATTCACACTCCTGTAACTTCGCATATTCTACTTTCTCAAAAATCTCATGAAACTTTATTCTTCTTCTCAGGATCCATAGACAAGAGATTATAGATGGGCTTGGTTTAGAATTCACACACATGCTCTACACTTGAAAAGGCAATGAACTTTTACATATTAAATCACAGTTACAAAACAGAAGGAAAAAAATCCAGACTCATGCTAAACAATTTCACTTACCTTAGGTACAAACACGAGGCAGAGAGTAATGGTGCTGCAGAATATTATGACTAAAGCAACGATGCAGAACTGCACATTGGGTTGGTCCCGAGTAAGGAATGAGACAGCAGCACCAATAATGCACATTATCCCCACGTTGTATACACTCATTCCGATGTACTTGCTGTCATTCAAAGCAGGAAT